TTAAATTATATTTAATTGTACGCTTACCACTTTTATTTTTTAATATTTTCTATTATTATTTCCGATCAAGACCCTTGTAGTAAATCTACTTACAACATGACATTGAATTTTCCTAAATAGTAACCATTTATCAATTGTGGTTGCTGTTTCCTATTTGAAATTTACTTAACACGTTCACGCCGGGGTGACCAACCGGTGGGTCACGCTAGATTGTCTCATCGGCCAGAGCACCGGAGTAAATACTGGTAACAAATAAATTTCATGTTTTAGTTTTTTTCCGGGAATAATAAAAATCCATAACTACCAATTGTTTTTAAAGGATGCAATTTTAATATTGAATTGCTTCTTCGTCGAGATAAATTTCCTAACAGTGAATTGTTATTGTTGAGAATACATTAACTCCTCCCGAATATTATCTAATATTGAAATAGTTCTTCTACCAGTATTTTCTCTTTTCCGTCCCGCTTTCAGGCGCAACACCCGGCCTGAACGTTAAGCAAGGCAACAATGAAGTATGCATTATTAAATTATATTTAATTGCGCACATACCACTTTTATTTTTTAATATTTTCTTATAATTCTTTCGATTAAGAATCATGATTTGCACACCCATTGCCTGCTTACCTCATTGTTCAACCAAAACTGTTCTAAAATTCCAGATGAATGGGATAGGGGCCGCTTCGCGGCCCAGTTGCCCAATAAAATCGAAACACTAGGACTAGGATGATTTGCACAATGTACTTTAATCTATGTAAAATTTACCTAAATAGTAACCATTTATCANATAATTTATCTTGTCCTTATTGGTCTCCATATAACGCGGTACGAATGATGTGATTTGTACTAATTCTGCGTTTCTTATAGCGCGATTTCCATACAACGCGGTAGACGGTTTCCATAGAACGCGCTCCGAATTAGCCTGGTTTGTACGGTTAAATCCGAGTTTCTTACAGCGCTGTTTCCATATAACGCGGCACGCACTCACCGCGTTATGGGAGCAGGGTTGACTGTACATAATAATATAACTCCTCAGGTTAGCATGTTTCACAAGTGTTTAAAATGGCTACCTTAACCATTCCTTGTAACAGTTTGTATTTATGTACCTTCGTATAATATTAAATTACCATATTGGTGGCTTTAAAAAAAGAACAATTTCCAAAACTGAACGCAAAGGATTTCAAGCAATATATTTTTAAAGGTAGGAAGTATTGGCATAGCTCAAAGAATTCTTGTTTATAATTGCAAAATCAATTGCTACATCGCTATCGGTACGAATTTTAACTTGGAATTGTAATATACGGCAGCCATGATTTTTTTAGTTAGTTTACTTTTAAACGAATGATAAACAAGTAGGTTGATTACCATGTTATAAAGATAGTTCTACGGGTAATTTTTCAATGGAAAGTTCAATGGGAGGAAACTGAAGTTCTCTTTTTCCTTAAAAGCAATCTCTGCCCGATGTCGCCTCTTTCAAGGTAAAATTTTCATAATTTAATAGTTTGTAACCACATTATTAAATATGAGTTCTCAGATGGGAATTTTGTTCGATAGATACAATAGATAGCACCCCCCTCTTTACTCACATGGATACTCCCGAGATGAGGAAAGGAACAAAGGTGATTCTCAGCTTGGGAGTGTACCACCCCAAGATATTTAACCTTTTTCTCCCCCTTTTAGATTATTAGATTTTATTTAAACATTAATTTTCATTATCAGATACTTATTAAGTTTTTCACATATTTTATCTTATATTATATCTATATACTTATAAATTCTCACATGAACTGTGTACTACAGCATGCTATCCAGTCGTCAACTGCCTCATTTATCGCCAATTATCTATGCCAACAGTCGCCCTAGGGCAAACTCCAGATAAAGTGTGGTGCCTGCTGCCGCGGGCTGTAACTTCACCAAAAACATAGATCAAGTCAAATATTCATTATGAAGCAGAAAAATGTGACAAAGCAAAACTTAATGATAACTTTAGCAAAGAATTCTTAAATGAAAATATTACACACAACCCATGGGCCGCCTTTTACTTATCGGATGGTATACAATCCAAGAGGTAGTGTAAATATTGTACATAGCTTTTTTCTTCCTATTTCATTATCATTCATATATATCAAACTGGTGTAATCGGGGAGCCACCCACTAAGAAACTGCGGACAGCCTGATAAGAAGGTCCACCGGCCGTACCTATATTGTCATTGTTTTTTCGATATTAATGTTTGCGCCGTCCATATACTAGACTATATTTAAACCCATGTCATTATTTTAACTCTTTGAGTCGTGTCAGATATGGTGAATCAGTGAGAGAACATCGAGTAGCTAATTTACAATTCAGTGGCGTTTAACTCTCGTTTTCGATAATTTTCCTTTTGGCTGCAGTTGGCCTCAATTATAATAAAAGCTTTTATTTAATTTGTTACCTGAACTAAAATGTTAGGAATCAAGTTTTTTTTTTCATTTAAAAAAATGCTAAATTTGGGAGCGGTCGTTAAAGGCCGCTGGATTGGAAAATCGCCACCACTGAGTCGATAGAATTCTGAGTATTATTGTGTTATAAGTGATGACTAAAAGTGATTTGGGTATTTGCCTGCATCATCGCTCTAATAGTTATTTCAATGTCATGGGCAAACAACTTTTTGGAAGAGCTTAAAAGTTGGCAAGTGTGGTAAAGTATTTTAAGCAACTTAGTGCCTACTTTAGCGCATTGGCGTGCAGTATCTGATGTAGGATTTGGGGCTCTTACACTAGAAACCCTTTCTTATGTATCATTTTTATTACGAAGAAAAATTTTCTAGCACGTAGCTCAAACAAAATACATATCTTATGCAGAATAAAATGTAATTTTCAAACAACTAAATAATGAAGTTTTAGGTCATTAAAATTTGACTATTCCGCACATTTAATTAAAATTTGAGAATACTTACTTTGAGGGAAATAATAAATTTTATAACACATAACAATGAACTTAAGATCTAGATTTAGTTTTTTTTTATTGTTCCATTTAAAAAAAATTGTCTCCTGATGTGATTTCAATATTCTTTAAAATGGTGTGTGATAAAAAAATTTGCCCTGGGCGTGATTTTTCAATTCAGCGGTGGCGTTTGGCGTCATACTTCCGTGCTTGACATTTTCTTAAATAAAATGAAATAAACTTGACTTTTTACTTCTTATAATTCAGGTAACAAATTTTAAACAAAAAAGTAAAAGCTTGCATTATAATTGCGACCAATTACAACCAAGAGAAAAATCTAGAAAAAGAGAACAAGTCGTTAAAGGATGCTAGAATGTAAATTAGCAGTTCGGGCATCCACACATATCTGCTCGACACTTCATTCGTTTAATTAGCATTTTAAAACACTCTGAGTACAATATATTTTAAGGGATATCAGCCAATTCTCTCGAATTGAATTTAGGGGAGATTTTCTTTTTGCATTAAATGAGGTTACAAAACTAATGTTTTAACACTTTCACTCCGACTTCCATGCATACGTGACAGTATGAAACATTCTCAAATGGATTTAAAAAAAAAAATGGCTACCAAACTATTTTTTTAGAAGCTTATTTGTGGGCAAGGTAATAAAAATTAGATTTATTTTAATTACCAATTATTTAGTTCGCAATAAAAAAATATATAGTTACATTTTTTACTGTCATTGAAGCAAGCGTTGCCTACTTGCTAGATTTAGTAAAAAAAAAAAGAAGAAAAAAGTACTTTATAGTGGTAACGAAATTTTAGTCATTTTTACTTTCGCATTTTTTAGTTAAAGTAACTTTTCCGCCACTACATATTAAAAATGCTGAGTATCAAATAAAATACAACTTTAATGCGGTTATCTCACGGTGACTCTTTTAAAGAGTAAGGGTAATTATCCTTGTTCTAGAAGTTTTATAATTGAATTCGCTAACAATGTATTAAAACTTTTGAAGGAAGCGGAGCAGTTGGCATCCGTGTTGATTAGATATATACTACCAATGATTAACTCCGTAGCCTTGTAATTTTGAATCCAATCCAGAAGACAAGGGAACTCCTGGATCAAGTATTGGGAAAAATGTAACCATCAAGAAGGTTTTTTGATGCAACTGACCCACATTCGTGTTAAACGAAGAGGAAAATCCCGAAAGCCCCCCACATGTGGATAGGGGATTCTAACCCACGATCCTTCTACCACTGAGGATATTTTACGTCGGCACTGTTTTCGGTGAGAGCCAGTTGCGAAATTCGACCAGTCATCGCTGGGATTCGAACCCAGGTCACCTCATTGGGAGGTGAGACCTCTATCCCATGAGCCCCCACTGCCTTATATGTTGTGTTGGAAAAATTCTATTAATTATAATATATTAGAAAAATTACTTTTGCTACCAAGATGAAAAGTATTTTCTGAAACTACTTCAATTTCGTAGTAGTTAGAAGGTATGCCTAAACGCTTTTGTTAAATTTTGGTTTAACAGATTTCCCTTCTTATAAAATGTTTACCACAGTAACTTATTTCCACAAAATACAAAAGTCCTTTATATATATATATATACATACATACATCATAAGTTAAGAAAAATTCTTAATTTCTTCGTTAAAAAGGATTCGCAATAAATCTCAAATGAGTGCTGAATATGAATACTTAGATCGTCGCAAAAATGCACCCCTCATGATATCAAAATTCTTTTCCTTCAAATTAGTTTAATTTGCTTGAATAATATTTTTTTTTGCTTTTTTATTTTTCATTGCATAAAGTGATAACAAAATTTATACTTAAACATTTCAGGTTTGTTCCGCCTACTGATAAACATTTGAAATTGCTGCAAAAAATCTAAAAAAGTGTTTAGTTTTTAACAAAATTTAAAAAATGAATTGTTATTCCATTTCGTGATATTCCATTTCAAATATTGCGAGGAGACAAAACGTCGTAATTGGCAACTATAATTACTATTTAAAAAAAATATGATGAAATATTCGTTTGAATTAAAAGAACTCTTAAAAAAAATAAAACACTAACCTTCTCTTCTTTTTCTTCTCCAGCGTTGGCAACAGATACGGATAAGGATAAAGCAACGAGGAATACAGCAAGCAGGATAAAAACTGTCGAAGAATTCATTGTGAAGCTAAAACAAGAAACACAGAAGATCTAAATCTATCACGAATTCACCACAGATACCGACGACTGAGCGAAGCCGAATGCTCTCTTTTGGTAATCGACCCACGGGAGCTGTAAGCTGGTTGGTTACTCAATATTCGTCTGCCCAACGGAACTTAAAGCACGTCACAGACAGTAGAGTATAACAAAAGAGAAAAGAATGCACGAATGAAGAACCACAGAGAATATTCAGATAATAAATTTTATGTTTGTACATACAATACATAACAAGACGAAGAATGAAGTACAACTGCATAATTTTATCTGCCATGTGATATGAAATATGATGAATTATGAAAATAACCCGGAGCGCGAACTTTGGTGTTAAAAAAGAATTCTTTTTTGTCTAGAAAAAATATTACATTTTTTACGTAATATAGGAATATCAGCTTAAATTTTATTTGTTTAAACCATTAAATTCCCACTTCATATTTTGCAACGTAAGAGAAAAGTATCTCTCTAAAATAATACGTGTTAGTACTTTTATTTTTCATTTACATTTCGTCGGCTTTTAAGTAAAACACATTATGTTTTTCTAGTTTTGAGTTATTTAGTCTATCAGGTCTAAAATGTTCCTGGTCTAAATGTTGGTTGTTGGAACACTTAAAATCATAATTTTGTGAAATACTAATTTATATTTGGTTTTATACTTCCATAACATTAACCCCTTAACTTGTGCGCTCCAGTTAATTTGGGCGAGCTAAACTGTGCACACTCGAGATAATTCGAGCGGCGTTGTATTTTATGCTGCTATAATTTTTCAAACTTGAATATAATCGAGAATTAAAAATAACAATGTGAAAGCTAAGAAAAAAAATCGTTTTATTGATATTTATCATTTACATAGGATTGTAAGCTATAACACTTATTTATTCAAGAATAAAATATTCAGAGATGCCAACTTGCTCCGGACAGCAAATATATAGTACTTTAAAGTGGGAGTTTATCAATTGTGATTCTTGGTTTAATAAATTCAATTTAGTAGGTTTTTATCCACCACTATTTCTAAATAATTCGTAGGTTTATATAAATCACCATTTCTTCATACATTGTCATGCAAGACCTTTTACAAAGTAAGCAAAAATAGTCAAATGTTTGCAAAATTTACTTAGTAGTTAATTACCGTTTTTCTTAATTATTTTGGCTTGTCCGGAACAGTTAGCATCTCTGAATATAGCCTTTTTCAATGGAACAACAGCGCAGTATATAAAAATTGTCCACCGAAAGAAAAGACAATGTTCAAAAGTGCGTTTTTCTTCATTAAAAAAAGATTGATTTTTTTTGGCCGGTTTCTTTCTAAGGGGTTAACCTAATAATAGACAACAAAGTGGTCAATATTTAAGAAACAATTTACAGGTAAAAATGGTAGTTTTATCAAGTGGACATTTCTTTCTGTTACCTACCACTTTAACTTTGAGGAATCACAGCACTTAGACTTCAAACCCTAATATAAATATTAGTATTATTAACATATTATGGTATACCGAGAGAAGGTAACACAGAGCTCCAGAGAAGTTTACTTGCATAGAACGTCTATGTCAGAATAATTTGTTAACTTCTAAACTGCAAAAATGTAAGTTATCACTTTTTACCCATGAGATATTTTTTCTCGGTAATTACAGCTTAAACTATGCAAACAATTATAGTTAAATTATTTCAAATCGCTCTAAAGATTTTAAAAATATGAATAATCTATGACAGATTCAGAAATTTTTTTTTGTCTAAATACAGAACTTAGTCACTTTTTTTTTAATGTTTGCGCAGTGTTAAATAAATTTGAACTGGAAATCGTTGATAACGTATTCATTAAATTTAACATAATTTCTTCAGTATTTTCATTTAAAATATTTTTTTTATAATCCCCAATGATTTGACTATAGTATTCATTAACTCACTAAATTTATTAAATTTAACATAATTTCTTCAGTATTTTTTAAAAAATATTTCTTCTACAATCTCCAATGATTTAAATATAGAATGTCTTAAGACGGGTTTCTAAAAACCAACACTTATTTGAAAAACTAATCAAAGAAAGGAGACAAAAATGTGCAGTTTGCTGCATTTCTCTTTAGGAAACGAGATTTTATTATCACCGGATTTTAAAGTTAGATATAAAGTTCATTAACAGATGGCGCTGATCTGTGAAAAATCATAAAATAATCTATTTAAAATTAATAAAATTTAAATCAAAACCCATCTGGGCAAATTTTTCAGAAAGAATGCAACATGACAACTGCTCCACTTTCAGCAAAAGTTTCAATGAACTGGTTCAGAGTGAAATATTAAAACTTTTAGAATAAGAATAATTACGCTCACTCTTTGAAAGAGCTACCAAGAGATATTGCAATAATGCTGCCTTTCATTTGATACTCTAAATTTTAACATGTGGTGGTGGAAAAATTACTTAATATGAAAAATACTAAATTAAAAATGACTTAAATTTCGTTAGGAGTGAAAAATATTTTTCTTTTTTTTACAAGGAGGAGCAAGTTAACTTCTCTGAGAATGGTTTGTCAGTCAGCAAAAAAGTGAATTAAAGTTCTTGCAATCATGAGTGCTATCTGTTGAAGAGTATTGTAACTAATTTTAAAGTTTTGGTGAAAAAAATTTCTCGTTCCCTAAGCAGAACCCACAAAATCGAGTGTTTTTTCTTATTTCTGTATGATTAATTTTTCAAATATTCAATCATTTGTTAGGTTTTCTGCTGAAGCTAGATCTTAGTTTTCTGCCTCAATAACAAAAATTCCAGAAACTCAAGAAAATTATTATTAATGGGTAAAAAATAAAGTAATTTCGGTTTCTTGGAGTGATATAAAACTCAATTTTTCATACACAAAAAATGAACTTTAATGAATCAGATATCTTCTTCCATTCTGTTTGATGACCCTTTGCCATCTTTCTGGTAACTTCATGATGTTGTGCTATTAGAACTTCTGGTCTTTATCTTAATTTTTGAGGTCAAAATTTTTGAGAATTTGAAGTCATGATTTTCAACGAAATTTTTGCCATTAAAAAAAAATTGTAAGCTTGGAAATGAGCGATAATCCGTTGCTCAAGGTCGGGGCTATATACAGGGCCGTAAATCAGGAAAGAATCGTGTTCCACCTCGACAATGAGCATTTTGAGCAACAAGCACGATATAATTAAAGCTTGGTTGGGAAGTGATGTCGCATTCCCCATATAGCACTGACCTTGCACCATTGGATTATCATTGTATATGGAAGTTTACAAATCGTTTAAAAGGTAAAAATTTCAATAAAAGCGATGACTACAAATCGCACTTTTTTTCTGATAAGAACCAAAAGTTCTGTGAATGCTGGATCATGAAGTTATCAGGAAGTTATCCAAATGTTATCAAACATAATGGAAGATATTTAATTGACTACAAGTTATATTTTGTAAGTAAAAAGTTGAGTTTCATTTCACATTAAAAAACCCGAAATTATTTTATTGCCAAACCAATAGTTATTTAAATTATATGAAAAAAAATGGGTACTTAATTCTACGTAATTCTTTTAATTCAAACAAATATTTTGAGAAATGAAGCAAATTTAAAATCAATACCCAATTTATTTCTTAAAAAAATTGATATTTGGTAGTCATAGAAATCAGTTTCAATTTCAGATTAAAATTATATTGAGATAGTTATTAAGGCATTGATTGAAAGAACTAATGTGGACACAAAATAACTTTTCATTGATTTTCTGACGCCTTTTAAAAGGAGTTCTAATCTTATTATTTTATGTTATAATAAATTAATTGATTTTATTTTCATTTTTAACGTAATTCGAAACCGTCTCAAATATATTTATAATTTTATTATTAATATTATTTTTTTTTCGAAAAATTTTACGATGTCACGAATTTTAATCATAAAAAAACATTTCTTTGCATGACATTGACGAATTAAATCGATTAAAAAAAAGACAACATATAATCATATTAAATCAATGATTTCGTTTATTTCAATTCACTTATTTTACACTTTTAAAAATTTTTTTGATTGAAATCTTTATGCAAGGACAAGTAACTAGCATTGATGCCTATAAAATTATATTTTCACAACTTGTACTGAGTACAAAAAAAAAACGAAAAAAAAAGGAAACACCCTTAATAATTGGATTTTTTGGGGTGGACTTTAAATATGATAATAGTGCAGGCGATATTTTAACCCTTTAGTGGGCCATTTACATCTAGCAAGAATAATGCCATAAAGTTTAATACCATTTTCTTTGGTGGTAAGTATATTTACCACGACCTATTAGAAACTTATTGACTTTTATTTTTCTTTATTTATGAAATAAATTTTATAAATGCTACAAACTTCAGTAGAAATTATGCATTTTATAAATTTTATACGTTTTCTTACACTAATAAATGGTTGTCAATTTTATTCAAACGCACTTCAAGAAAGCTGAAGTAATTAACGAATGGAAAACTAAATTAAAAGTGGTAGAAAAGTTAACATGGTGATAAGTATACTTACCACTGCTTTAGAAAGGGTTAATGGTTCAGGAGTGGGATTTTAAATATGATAATAGTGCAGACGATATTTCAAGTGAAGAAATCAGACATAAAAACGTTCTGTCTCTGAATAAACATACTTTTTTTCAATGAACTTGGATTCCTAACCCTCAAAATGTCGGGGGTAGCTACAATTTGGAAAATGTGGTCTCAATGGATAGTATTTGAAGAATGCAATCATCTTGGCTGTATAGAAACGATTGTATTACATATAATCAAAAATTTGCAAAAAAATCAACTATAACAATTTCGGTTGGTTGGTTAGTTCTAATGCCACTTGCCACACGGACAGGTGAAACCGAGCAAATTTAAGTCAGAGTGTGCGTTTCTTGTTTTCCAGTGGCGCCATCTATGACCAAGAGATCGACTTCTGCCACACCATACGTCACATTCGTTTATAGGGTGGACCCATTCATACATCCATTCATTCATCCACAGATCGTAATTTTGACCTGAATCAGAGAACGATCGATCTCCAATCCAGTACCCCCAGAGGTATTGATTTGTTATGGGAACATGGAGGACTTTTGCGACTCGACAGATTTAACGTGCATCAGTCACTTTACTACACGAGGAATCTTCGGCCGGCGGTGTTCGAACCCACAAACTCTCGGGCCCAGCTCCCTGCCGACCAGGCTATCCCGGC